TTTTTAAGGGTTAAAGCTTCTCAAACTCCCTCATCTTTGGGTCAGAATGAGATTTTTAAAAATCACATTGGGACTGCAAAAATTTGCCCGTTATTTAAATCATAATATTTCTCCGTATTTGTAGTATGTTTTTATACAAACACGTTGAATTAAATGGATGGGTCTGTTGGACCTTTTCCTTAAAAGAATTATCTTGTGGGCATGAAAACATTTTTGAGGTGATGCATTACTTGGGAACTTGTCCTAAGGCTAAGAAACCAGCAGGGTTATAGTTTTAAAATATTATTGTATTCTTATTTTATCTACAATAACAAATCATAATTTTGTAAAATCAAAGTTTTTCAGCTTATTGCTCATGAACATATTAATACTAGAATCTGCCCTCCAAAATACTGTCGCCCAGGACCCAGGAGCAAGAAGGAGGATAGCACAAAGCTTCCTGAGGCTCAAGAATGTTAGGCCCTAGTCTGAATCTGTCCCTGGATGATTGTGGGAGCTTATCTAATTACTTTCAGTTTTGGGGACTCTGTGTTCTCATGCGTGAAATATTGTCCACTGGACATTCTCTAGAGCCTTTCTGTCAGTCTTTCCAGGTCTCAGATTCCAGGCTTCTAACGAGGCATCGCAGACTCGTGACAGCAGCAAAAGGACTCTGCCTCCTGATTTGAAGTGACAGCCTCCCACCATTTCTGACCTGATAAGGACCCCAAAAGAAGGTTTCACCTCCTTTGTCTTTAAACAAGTGAGGGTTGCTCTCTCCATTTCACTACTGAGAGTAGGACCAAAGTATGTAAGGTCTCCAACCATGAGCTATCTGAGGCCTGCCTGAATAGCTTTCTCCGAATGAGCCCACAGGTAAAAATTAGTTCTTTTCTGGTGAAGCAATAATGCTAAAGTATGAATAGCCAAAGAGGAAATTAACATCGACTGCATGCTTACTCTATACCAGACACTGGTCTAAAACTTTATTTCTATTAAATTGTTTAACCCCCACGACAAGCCGATGAGTGGGCACTGTTTATCTCTTCATTTTATAAATGAGGGAACGGAGGCACAGAGAGGGAAAGCAACTGGCCCAAAGTCACACAGCTCATAAGTGGCAGAGCTGGAAAGCAAATCTGGGTATCTTGTGCTCCTAATCTCTTGCTGTACATGCAAAAAGGTATAAATCTTACAAATAATCAGCGAGGTGAAAATAAACAGCACACTATTTGTTTGAGCCCATCAAAGCAGCGCAAATCTAAAACTATTTAAATCAGGAGATCTCCAAGTTAGAGAAGTATAGGGGGTATTTTCACATACTTTGGGGGGAGTGGAAACTGGGGTTGTAAGATAAGTGCGTTTTGGGGGGTCTTCCTAGAGTACCACCCACACATATGTGCAAGGTTTTACAATGTGATGCTAGTGTGACAGCAAAACGTGAAAAATCACCTGGAGTAGGGGAGGGGAAACAAAAACAATTGCATCAGAATTTCTGGCACTGGTTTCATTCTGAAACTCCTCGCCCGGTTCCAGGGCAGGACCACTAGACTAAGTAGCTGCAAGTCTCTCCATTTGATGGAATATTATGGGTTTTTTTCTTCTTCTTTACTGAGGTAGATTTACATGTAACAGACATGGGTAGGAAACCGCAGTTTTTCCATTGTACACACAGTACAAAGTGTATTGTATGATGTCTTCTATTTAGCAATGAAACAATATTGCGTATTTTTATGTGCATATATACATAAATGTAAATATTTTGAAGAAATTTAGAAAATGCGTGCCTAAACGATGTGATTACCTCTGGGAATTTGAGGATGATGGTCAAGGAGGATTTCAGCCTTAGTGGTAATGTTTTTAATGTCTTACAAGTAGATAAAAAAAAATGTGAAAGAACTAATAGATGTTTAAAAATGAATACAGTAAAATAATACAAGAATAGGAGAGAAAAAAAGCCCAAATTATAATCCAACCAGCTAGAAAAAGCCATTTAAAATTTTTGATCGATTTCCTTCCTGTTTTTTGTCTTTATATATATATATATATATATATATATATTTATTTATTTATTCTAATCCCCCCCCACCTTTTTTACACAAAATAGGAATTATCATGTGCTGCATTTTCTCTTTTGCAAAGGTTTTCTCCGTGGATGCTCATGAAGCCTGTGCACTGACCCCTCGTCTTCCAGCCACCTTGAATCTTGTCCTGCCTTCTGTGAGAGCCTGGCTGGGGGCGGGGGGCTGAGGCGTGGGCCAGGAGGTGGGAGGGGGTTATGTCATCATATGGACCATCACCCAGGGAGATGGGCAGAGTTCCTCCAAACCTGCCACGGGGCTGGTGTCCCTGATTGGGGATTTAGAGTTTTGGGAAACGGGAGCATGGAAACTGCCCCTCTTTAGCATATGAGTTTGTTACTTGACTCCCAGACACATTTTCCATCTGTGCGAAAGGAGGGGTCACCTATAATTACTTCATCCCAAGAAATGGGATAAGAACGGGGTCGCATGTTTTAGGAGGGAAGCATCTGCCACATCTACCCCTCTGAGTGGATGTGACTGTGACTTCCAGTCTGCATGCCTACGTTATGACCCAACTGGTGACATTACAAAGCGTCCGTTCCCATGATTTATTTCAACCCCACGCATGTTTATGAAGCACCGGCCCTGGGATGGGCACATGTTAAAAACCTGGTAGCTGATTTGTGGGCTCCCTTGGTCCAGAAGGAAAGGCATGCATACATGCAGAGCCCTGATTCGAGACAGGCTATGATGCACTGTACCTAGCCAAACCCTAAGCAATCTGTCAAGTATGGATGCAATCATGGGGACCAATCGGATGAAATCCTCATAGTCGTGGTGAGTGGGGGCATTAGGGCAGCTTTCCTAACTGCCTTGCATCAATTCATTCTTGGACTCATAAACTTGAAGTCGCAACCCTCCTGTGGCTAGAATGCCATCCCTGTTTTGGCTGCCTAGAGAGGTATGGCCACATTTTAACACTAAGTCAGGGGCGGCTAACATTGAATGCACGCAGTCTGTTAATGCCTGGGAGGCAGTGCGAGCTTAAATCTTTGTGGGCCCCACTACCTCATCTGTAAAATGAGGATCATTTTGTTTTACATTCCTTCTCATTTACCTCCTCCCACACTACACTCTGTCTCTCTCTCTCTCTCGGGAATCAAATGAGTTAATGGATGTGAAAGCAGGTTCCACATTTTAAATAGCTATAGAAACGTAAGGCCATTATATAGATTTTTATCAGAGCCTCAGGTTTATCGAATGTTTATATTGCATCCTTGGAGACCCCTGCTTTTATCTGAAATGCAGTATTCATCTCAAGATTTTTTTTTGTTTTGTTTTGTTTTTTGTTTTTTTGGTTTTTTTTTTGAAACTAATCTTTTTATCCAATGACTTCAGTCTGTTTGCTAGAAAGCTGTCTAGGTGACAATGTTGGTATTCAAAAGCCAATCTGAAAACAGTTTTCATCTAAGAAGTGTCAAAAATCACAAATGTGTATCTTTTTTAAAAATTGACTTTATCCACTGTTTTACAACCCAGTGAAAATATTGTCAGTTGTAGATATATGTCTGCTCTGAATATTTCTGGTATTTTTCACGTGTCTGAATGTGGTTCTTGATTTATTCCTCTTAAATAACCTGGTGATCCCGAGGGGAATATCACAATCTATAAGTATCACTATTTACAATAAGATGGATTTTCCTATCTTGCTAATTACAGTATTAATTTCCATTTACAAGTTGGTAATTTGTAGCATCAATCCTTTCCCTGTCATTGGGGTGGGGCTGTTGTTTTCAGAGAAAGCCCTAGGAACATCCTTTCTGTTCTAATCTCCAGTTGTATTACACATAGCAGAAAATGAGAAAAAGAAGAAAAAAAGATAATTTCCTTGATGGCAGACTATGCAGGCAGAAATTGCTCAGGTTTCTGAACCAACTCTGGGTTTCACCAGCAACTCACCACCCTCCCTGCCTCATCCTTCTGTGACCAAACGGAATCACATCCCCGCACCAGGTAGCAAAGCATTATCATCATTATTGCAATATTTATATTCCCATCTCACTCTCCCTTGCATATTTCATTTCAGTGCCAGGTGTGAGAAGAAAATCATGAAGTAAAAGCATTTCCCCACATGCTCTGTTTCTCTGCTTTGAACCCTCAGTCCCAGCTGTCAGCAGGAGCACCTCGAGGGCTTTCAGAAATTCAATCAGTTCCTAGATAAGAGCATAACAAGATTTTAACTTCCACACTGTTTTCCTCTATGACTCGGATTTTCCACTCTTTGAGTAAAGTCTAATAATTTTGTTTCTAATGGGACCAAGGAGTGGCGAGAAGTATGGAGGTGCTTCTAGAGCTGGAGCTCAGGAATTTAGGAATCCCCCCTCCTCAAAAAATGCTGACCTTTTCCTCTCTTCTTTCTTTCTCTTGGTTCTAGAAAAGCGGAGATCAGAGGATGGCCAAACTCATGAAAGCAGCACAGATGAGGAGTCAAAGTAAGGGCTCTGAACCTGAGCTGGACTGGGAGGATCAGACCCCAGGGGGCGGCAAGGTGGGGTGCACAGGCAGCCTTGGTCAAAGGGCAGGGTGCAGAGCCCATCCTTGGAACCTATTTGGACTTCTCATGATGCCTCATCCCTGAATGAAAATTCTAGAGCAGGAGTTAAGGACCTCAGAAGTCCTCCTGTCTTTCTTTCTCTGCTTGATTGGTAACCTGAAGCTTTCAAGCAATAGAACCCCTAGATGTCAACAGACGTAGAAGGCGATTTGTTCAAGCTGAAACAAGAGGACCGAGGGCAGAGAACAGAATGGAACTAAAGAAGAACTTGGTGTGTCTGGACGTTTTAAGAGGAGTTCTATAGCTCCATCAGGAGAGCTTGGGGAAAAATTAATAAAAGGCATACGGAAACCTAAGGTAATGGAATTTAAAAAAAAGAGGCATTTACTCAATCTGTAAAAAAAAAAAATGCACAAGAAAGAACATGAAACCACAGTACTTACATAGTTCAGCTGTATGTGCGGTTTATAGGGTCATGAGGTTGTAAACGCTGTGTGTGAGGAAGAGAGCTAAGTCGAATCTTCCCCAGTAGGAATTAAAAGATGGTATCTAAAACGGAAAATCAGAAATTAGAACTATACTCATGCTATTCAGAAACTTGGGAGGTAAATTCTAGAAGAAACCACTAAAATAATTTAACGTGGTTGCAGCTGGGGAGTAGCCCTTCGGAGTGAAGAAAGGCTCTGTGATTTTTCGTGATGAAGCCTGTGGTTCTATTTTAAAGGATGTGGACTTTATTTAAAGGATGCTCATGTATTTTAAAGGCAATCACTGGGGCTGTCCATAAATACCAGGCCACTGTGGAACTTGGGAGTGAAGCTTCAGAAATGAGAGCACGAGCCAATGTATTCCCTTCCCCATCTCAGCTCTTGTGGCTCATGGAGCTGGATTTCCCCTCCCCAAGGTCCCCGAGTAAGGACAGCATGAAGCAGAATCCCTTAGTCACCAACGACTGACATGCAATATGGGGGAAATTAAGCTCTTACAGCTTGAAGCCACTGTGGCTGGGTGTTGTTCATTAATACTTATAAATTTGGCCTATCTGACTGCTCGCATCACTTCAATAAAGGTAGAGTCATGCAAGAAAATGAAAATAGGGAAATGGCCCATTCCATCAAAATCACTGAGTGTGGAACAAAAGGTAGAGGAATAAGACTCTGTGATAAGCAACTATGAAAAAAAAAATCAGAGTTATTTCATGGTATCATATATGTATACGTACATACATGTACATATATATGCACATTTCATAATACGCAGAAAATTTTAAATGCATGGATTTTATAATATTTTTATAATGCATAATAGAAATATACAACACATGTAAAATTCATATATATAAATATATTTTATAATAATATCATATATATATACAGTGATAGGTAGAATAATCGCCCCAAATATGTCCATATCCTAATCCCTATATGGCAAATGGGACTTTGCAAATGGGATTAAGGTTAAGAACCTTGTGATGGGACTATTATACCAGATTATTCAAGTGGGTCTAATCTATTCTCATGAGTCCTTAAAAGCAGGCAATGGCTCCCAGCTGCGGAAAGCTAGAGACGGCAACATAGGAAGAACTCAGCCTGTTTCACTGCCTTTGCAGATGCAAGAAGAGGCCACAAGCCAAGGGATGTGAGCGAGCTTTAGAAACTGGAAAAAACAAAGACACAGTTTTCCCTCTCAAGCCTCCGGAACTCAATACAGCTTTGCCCACACCTTGATTTTAGCCCAGGGAGACTAGCATTGGACTTCTGCCCTACAGAACTCAAAAATAATAAATTCGTGCTGTTCAAGTCACTCACTTTGTTGTAATCTCTGATGGCAACAATAGAAAACACACATACCCCCTCACAACCATGTGAATTTTAAGGAAAATAGAATTCCGATTTTAAAAGGTTCAACATGAAATTTTTAAAAACTGTAAACATGGATGTAAATTGAAATGGGATGTTTAGAATAGTTCTTAAAAGTTAAAAAATATATGAAGCAACAGAGTTCTTTTACTTTATGCTTCATATATGTCAGAAGAGCTCAGTTCTCCTTCTCCTGGTCCTACCCTAACAAATTACCCCAATACTTGGGGGTTGAAAGCAAGAAACATGTATCTCACAGTTTCTGAGGGTCGAGAACCCAAGAATGGCTTGGCTGGGGGCTTCTGGCTAAAGGGAATCTCTCAGAAGACTGCAGAGAAGATGCCAGCGGGGGCCTTGGTCCCCTGAAGGCTTGACTGGGCCAGAGAACCTGCACCCACGCTCTCTCGTGTGGCTGGGCGTTGGTGGCCTCTGCTTCCCACTGTGTGGGCCTCTCTTTAACGCTGCTCCTGATGTGGCTAATGATTAGAGGGATAGAGACAGAGACCTGAAAGCCACACTGGAGAGCCTGAACTGTACTTTGCATAACATGGGGGGCCATTGATAAGGGATGAGAGTTGCTGAAGCCCTTTTGGGATTCATCATCAACTGGGTGTCCAGTTACAGGTTAATCATCTGGGCTGAGACCGTGCTACATTGTCTAAAACACTGCAACGCGTTGCTGACAGAGACTCCAACAAGCAAAACTTAGTAGCAGGAATCCTGGGACTATCCAGCAGGGGCCCATACACAGTGCCCAGCAGGAGGCAGGGAAGAACCTACCAGGGTGCCTCAATAGTCCAGGGAGAGAAGAGAGGTTTATTTTGGAACTTCTCCTTTTATGAAATTTACAGGCACAGAGATGACTTTGGATTTAGAGAGGAACTTTGAAATGATTTAGATGCGCGTGGGCCGAAGACACCCAGATCGGCATCTCTGGCTTCAACCACCCCTCTGAGCTTTGGACGTGTTTATCCAGCTGTCTGTTGGGCATGTCCCTTGGTTGAACTATGGATACTTTCATTTCAACGAGTCAGGAATCCCTGGACTATTGAGGCACCCTGGTAGGTTCTTCCCTGCCTCCTGCTGGGCACTGTGTATGGGCCCCTGCAGGGATTCATCACTTTTTTCAGCCTCTCCTGCTCTGGGTGTTTTATTTAATTAAATCGTCACCTGCCCAGGCACCCGAAGCAGGAGCCAGTAGGCCACCCTCTGCTGAATGCAGGAAGCCATGTTCCCCCTCTCACATGCTCAGACCGACGGCTTCTCCCACACACAGGCCTCATCAAATCTCCCTGTCCTCTCCTGCCTCTTGGCCTTAAGGAGCGTGTTGCCTGGCCTGGAACATTTTTCTCTCTTGCCTGACTTGGAAAACTCTTACAGGTTTCCCAGGACCCACTCCAAATGCTGTCTCCTCTCTGTGGAATGAATCACTCCTTCGCCTGGACTGCAGACCCATCATCACCAGCTTCCACTATCACTGCTGCTTCCATGTCTACCGCTTCCACAAGACAAGGAGCTCTTTTTACTTGATAGCCAGGGAGACTCTGGCTCCTAAAAATGAAGTGATGTACTTGAGTTCAAGTTTACTCGGTTTACCAATAGGAGAGCCAGGACTAGAAGATCTTCCGAAAACGCTCACGGCTGCGTTATCTCAAGGATAAAATATGTGCTGCTCTTGTGTGTGTGTGTGTGTGTGTGTGTGTGTGTGTGTGTGTGTGCTGGAGAAGGACCTGAGGGGCTAAATCCGTGTTTGTCTTTGAGGTGAAAGTTGTACCCCCAAACACGTGTCCTGCGTTGGGGAGTACCCTGGCGATACCCCCGTGGGCGGCCCGGGGCGGGTGTGTGTTGAGAGGCCTGGGTGGGGCTGCTCTGGCCTTGCTCGAGGGACAGCCTGTGGAGAGGAAGTGCCACTCTGATTTGTGAGTTACCCATTTCCACTCCACAGAGGCCATTGTCAAGTAGGAGCCTGTCAGCTCTCATCTCCATCTCTCTTACCCCTGGGGCCAAAAGTCACATTCGGTTTCTGCTCACTTGTTTGATATCTGGGGGCTCCTCTGTTATCCCCAGCTTCAGAACCTTCAGCAAGTGGTTTCTTTTGAATGTTTAAGGTGGAAATCTCTGAGCTGGGCCTGTGCTGCAGACAAGTGTGCGATCGATGGGAAACCTCTCGCTGGAGGCTCGCCTATCCCAAGTCTTGCTAAAAGGCACTTTCAGAAGATGGGAAGGGCTCTCAGAGGCCTTTGACAATGGACTAGGCTGGTCTCAAACCATCCCCTTTTTTCTCCTGGGTGACTATTCACCATCACTACCCTCTCTGATGACCAGAGAAGAATGTGAGGATACAACAGAAAGGAAATCACTCCTTTCATACATAGGACAGAATGCTCTTAGTGTCAGGCAGAAGAACAGTGACTTGGGAGAAAACTGTGAACCTGGGGGTGGATGCTAGGGGCTGGGGCAGGCTGAACCTTTGGGCTTTGGCTCTGCCGCTCCAAGTAGCCTGTCTTTCTTGGGGTTCTTTGCCTTTGATTCCTGTAGCCACTACCACACCTGGCCTTTCCCTACCAGCCCCCAAGAACACCAATCCTCCCTATTTCTCTTGAACATAACTGAAATGGTCTAATACTTTCCAAAAGTGGCTTCACGAATGTGCTAAAGAAAACTTACATAGGGGGTGCCTGGGTGGCTCAGTGGGTTAAAGCCTCTGCCTTCGGCTCGGGTCATGATCCCAGAGTTCTGGGAATGAGCCCTTGTCAGGCTCTCTGCTCGGCAGGGAGCCTGCTCCCCCGACCCCCGCCTGCCTCTCTGCCTACTTGTGATCTCCGTCAAATAAATAAATAAATAAATAAATAAATAAATAAATAAATAAATAAATCTTGAAAGAAAGAAAGAAAGAAAGAAAGAAAGCATACATAGAAAACACCACCGGCATGGAAAACAATCCAGTTCACTCAGGATCTTATCTTGATTCTATGAACCCCAGAATTGAGTATGAGAGACTTCCATTCAATTTTCCTCAGTGTCTTATCCAGGTCTACCCCTTGTCTTGCTTCTTACCCTACAAGTACCCCTTCTGCCCTTCTCCCAGCCATAAGACCTCTGGGTACCATTTTGCTTGCTAGAAGATGGTGTGGGGAATCCTTTTGCTCAAATCAAATCATAGCAGGAAAGAGACCCCTCAGGACATGAGTGAAAGCTAAATGAAGGCATCAGAGGAGAAGCTATGCAGCGGTATAAAGATGCGAGAAATATTGAGGAGTCCAAATAGGTAGACTTTGGGGTCCTGTTAGATATGAGATGGAAGGGTTGACTCTTCTTTATCTTGTTTTATAAAATATCTGTTGAACTCAAGCTGGAATTCCTTATATTGTTTGCATGTTGGAAATAATATTGCTAAAAAAAATATTGGAAAGGGGAAGCACAGACAGACACAAAGCGTAAGACAGGACTTCTGTTATTAATTAAGATACATGTAATGGCATGTCACTTTTTAAAAAATCCAATTTATGAAGATATAATTTACATACAATAAAGGGTCCACATTTAAAACGTATGTTTCATTGAATTTTGACAAACACATATACCCATATAATTACCATCACAATCAATATATAGAATATTTCTCTCACCTCACAAAATTCCCTTGTGCCCTTGCCCACCTAATATCTACCCCCCATCCCTAGGCCACCGCTGATTGGCTTTCTGTCACTATAAATTAATTGTGCATGTTTTAGAATAAATGGAACCAAATAACATACAATCTTTTGTGTATAGCCTTCTTTCATTCAGTGTTGCTTTGGAGATTTATCCCCACTATTGCTGAATAAATATATCATTGTTTGACTATACCATATTTGTTCATCCAGTCCCCTACGGATGAATGTTTGGGTTCTTTGGAGTGTTAGTTATTACAAATAAAGCTGCTGAGAATATTTAGAGGCAGGTCCTGGGGTGGGGCACCTAGATTTCCATTTTCGTGGAAAAATACCTAAGAGGAAACTTGTCATATGGAAAGAACCTGTTCATTTAACTCTATGAGAAACTGACAGCTCACTTTTTAACCAATAGAACGTTTCTTAGCATTATTCCCCATAATTCAAGGATGAGGAAAAGACAAATTCAGCCCAATCCTACTTGAATTATCATCGAATTTAAATTAGTGGGATCTGAATTAATGAGATTAAGCCACTGTAAAATGTTAGATTAATCCAAACATGGTTTGGATTTTTAACTCATATGAAAATAATATTTCTGAAAGAATATTACATATACCAGAAGGGAGAAATTTTGTGAACTTTGTATATTTCCTCCCAAAAAAAGAACAGCAATGTATTGTTATTTTATCAATTGTCAATGCCATATAAAGCTGTGAAGTGCTCTATAAACATACATAGGGTATCATTGTGTTACTTTACTGGAAGCTGCCAGGGGACTGGTAGTACTGGTTTGCTTACATCAAGCGGACCCTGTGAACGCCATGATATCACCCTTCCCAGTTGACTCAGCCCGAAAACAGAGACATGTGTATTGCTAGGTGGGCCAGCGACTTGGAGAATTATAGCTCTGCTGTCCTTAAGTGTTCCCCTGTGATCGGGAGCCTTAACATTGCCCCTAGGGACCCAACATCTCCAGGAGCGGCCTAATCATTGGCTCAGAAATTTCTTTAGAAGCTGATTGACAGCAGCTGCCAATCTGGATAATCGCCAGAGAGCCCCAATTAAAGCTCTGACCATCAATCTCACTGCCGGGACTGAGGACTTTAATATAAATCCACAAGTGGAAAAAAACTACCCCCTGAGAAAAGAGCAGCATTTTTGCAGTATGGACTATATTACACAGCCATATTATACATTATTTATAATTCATAGATGCATTTTTTAACCCATCTTCTGAAATGTTGTACTGTTAGTCTAATAAGGTTGGTAGTCAGAACCTTTCTTTTTCAATCTTTCACTTTGGAGGGAGACAGAGTAAATCTGGAAGAAAATATAAATGAAAGAGTATTTTTAGCACTGACAGAAATAGGAACTCTTTTAAAGTAATTTGCACTTTTGTCATTGCTGGGGTCTTCATTAGCCACCTAAGGAGGAAGAGCCCGGTGTTTTCACTAATCCTCCAGATGAAGCCAAGTTTAAAACACACACTCTCTATAGGGATTATGTGAAGATGTTAAAAGTTGGCCGGAAAGGTGACAAGGTATCTTGATAATTGAGACAATCCTGGGAGTCGGCTGGTCTGTCCAACCGCTATGAACTAATGGTGGGTAATCAAACCCAGCAGGTCTGCACAGATAACAGGCAAATGCCAAACAGCTTCCCGTATGCACAGAATTCAGCTTAATTAGTCACAGAGGAGGAATAGGCACATTTAAACTAATCCAAAAAATCATTATTGTTTGAGTTGCTTACATGCAAACATAAAAATGGCTGCCCTCTTAAAATAAGCAGTTCCTCCCTGCAAAGGAAGGGCATGAGAGAAAGTTGACTGACCTTCATCGAAAAGAACTGTCCAGAGAATGAATTCTCTCCATCCCTCCACTCTTTGGTGATATCACAACCTTATCTCTCAGTAGCCCTGTTTCACCCAGTAGATGACGAATTATGGTGCATGCTAACTAAAGAGTGGCTCCTGACGAGAAATATGGATGGACTTTCAAAAGGTTGGCACCGTTGTATGGATGAAGAGTTCCAGGGCTGGTGACCGAGACTATACCCCCGGCTGGTAGGACAGGGTTCCCCACAGCAGTCTCTGAGGCTCTTCCCTAGCAATTAGGACATGATTGGTAAGTGGGGGCTTTCCCGTTGCCCCAGAATTGAAACCAAGCCTCGGAGTGGTGAGCAAAAAGCACTTAGTGTCTCACTTTCTAAGTCATAATCTCTCCAAGGAGGCTTTGGGTGGTTGGATCCAGTCGCAGCAACACAGGTTATCAAGAGTGCTGATTCGAGAATGGGCCCTTCCACCTCCCCATTCATCATCCCTACCCCAACCTAGGAGGAGAAGAGGACTTGGAGGTGAGAGAGGGTCAGCCATTTTGGTAGTGCTGCACTTGCAGAAGAAGATTACCCCCTTCCAAGACTAAGGAGGTTCTTCCAGCCCTTGGACAGTCTTGAAGTCTTGTGCTTTCCCCCTCTCTAATCATTCACAAAGATAGGTGGTGGCATTTGATTTCGTCATCACTGCTCAGGCTGTGTAAGGTAAATGAGAGAAAGAAACAAGTCTCCCCATTTGTGTAGGTGTAACTCGGGTTACAACCCTGACTGTCCCCACAAAAAAGGCAAGGAGCATCTGCATCTGAGGAACATGGTAGGAGAGCCACCAACTGGAGCTGAGTTGGAATTTTCTGTCAGATCTCTTGAGGGATCTTTAATGTGCAAGATTATAGCTTGAGCTTGAGTCCCGTATCAACGGACATGTTGGAGATACCACTGTCCTCATCAAAATCACAGAAAATGAGATAGAATAGTAGCCAGAAGGCCACGACTATATGCAGTTAAATAAAGAAAAATCTGCCCTTTCCTTCACCCTCCTCCCTGGCCCACACTGAAAACTCAGTACCCAGATGGGAGGGAATGTTGCACCTGAAGGACACCCAGCCTCCCTCGACCCCATCCCAAGCACTCAGGGCCAAGAAGTTGGCCGGTGTAAAGGTCCATGTCAAGTCTCTCAACCTTTCTAGACATCCTCAGGTAACAAAAGTCCTGACATTTTCAATCACAAAGATGTACTCCCTCTCAGTAAATAAAACAACCAGTCAAAACATTACTTCACTCAGAGTTAAAGCTTTCCACTCTCCCCAGTCCTGGCCTGCCTCGGGCTTGGAGACTGGTGGTGGGTCAGTTTCTTTCCTATTCTTCCCCCACCTTGTTTTCTCCTTCTTACCCCCTCACTGTCTCTGCTTCCAAGTGGTTGGAAATAAGGTAGAGGGATGTGGAGAGAGGGGTGGTGAGAGGAGAAATAAGGGGGAGGAAAGGTGTTCGATGACTGGTTTGGTACAATCTGGCTGTGGTGTTCTTTGGGCAGGTGGAGTCCCATTGCTGATTCTGTCTCCTCAGTGAAGCTTTCATGAAAGACTCAACGACATCCCCTCTGGGACCTCTGACTGTGGCCCCCTTGATGGGAAAGATGCCCATTTCGGCTCCTGAGTATCTGGAGGTCCGTCCTATTATCTCTCCAGGCAATCTACCCCAGGAGAATCCAAGATGGTCCCAGGCTAACTCCCTTTCCCTCCCTCCCTAATGTGGGCCTTTGTGGCCCCTCAAACACCCTCATCTGCCCAGCGTCCCACTATTCACAGAGGTGTACTTTGCTCCCTCCCGACAGTCTCCAGTCTGTTGCCTAAAGACCCTCTCCACAGGGTCTTGTCTGTGGACTTTTTTCAGACCGGTTTTGCTAGAGATATGAATAGTTTTTGTCGGGTGGAAGAGATAACCTCAATGGGTTATGGTTTATGGTCATGATGGAATACTGACAGGTTTTGTACCTAACTCAGCAATCTTATCTTAACATTGCCATAAATACTTAGCTTTTCAAATGTTCTTTGGAATGATTTTAACATCCTAATGGTTTTTCCATTAATTAATAAGTTGAATAAAATCTTCAACTTGTGTACATTTTATTTGAAAGAGAGTCATAATTTTACCTTTTTGAAAATTATTTCTTGACAACTTTCAAGACCCAACACTCTCTGCTAAGAAATTCTACTACCACTAATATTTGATGATGGTACTAACTTACATGTCTTCAGTGATTTATAGGATGTAGCTTCCTTCCTGCAGTAAGAATCTTCTTGAGGACAGAGACTCCGGGTGTCTGAGCACCCCTGCATCCTTTCTTCCTGGCATAGTCTCTGGTACATAATAGGAGCTCAGTAAATATTTGCTATGACTTTCATTTGATGTTCATATAGCCCTGCAAAGTAGGTAGAGAGATCCTCTTTCTTCATTTCGCAGATTAAATGTGTTTGGATGGCTTGCTCAGTGTCACACAGGTAGTAAGTTGAGAAAGTTGGGACTCAGTCAGGCCTTTTTATTTCTAGGGTAATGTATTTTTTGAGGATACCACAATTGTCTCTCATTTTATAGATGAGCACTTAATACTCCCACATAAATTAGAAATACCTCTGGGCTAAAATCTTCCTTAAGTAACTACTTCTTATTAGGATGCTCTAAAAATTTTTTTAAACATAATTCAATCTAGGGGTGCCTGGGTGGCTCAGTGGGTTAAGCCTCTGCCTTCAGCTCAGGTCATGATCTCAGGGTTCTGGGATCGAGCCCTGCATTGGGGGGGGGGTGGTCTCTGCTCAGCAGGGGGGGCCTGCTTCCCCCTCTCTCTCTGCCTGCCTCTCTGCCTACTTGTGTTCTCTCTGTCAAATAAATAAAGAAAAACTTAAAAAAATATATAATTCAATCTATAAAACTTCTGAATTCATGCTCACAAGCATGATGTCCTCTAAGGTCATGGCAATACTATCTAGAGCTAAATCTGAAGAGGACAATTTGTTATGGAAATGGAGGGAGCATTTTTGCCCCAATAGGGTAGTATGTCCTGGTTTAGGAAAAATCCAAATGTATGGAGTTTTGTATTCCAAGCCAGACACGGATGAACACCGGAACATCAGAAGCTGGTTCCAGTCTGCGTCTGGAATTTTCTTTAGTCAATATTCTTGTTTCTGTGAATGCCAATGGAAACCCCAACCCTCCTGAAAAAGAAATCAAACAAACCAAACAGAGAAGTCATGGACCCCCTTGAAATATGCTTGAGTCTTTATTTCTTCCCGTCCCCATTGCCAGCACCCTGTTATAAATCGTTATCCGTTCTTATCCCAATTGCTGCAAAATCTCATGATCTGATCTCCCTGCACCTGTTCTTATGCTTCCCTCCCATCGACACCGCAAATAAAGTGATTTTTCAAAAACACGATGTGATCTTGTTTCACCCTCTCTGTGGCCTCCCACTGCTCTGAGACCAACCTAATTCCTTAATGTGGGCTAGAGCCTCACATGACTTGGCCTTGCCCGACTCTCCTTCCAGTTACTCTCCCATCTGAGAGCCTCCGCACATGTTAACCCCTCTTCCTAGAAAGCTCCACTTTGCCCTCACCTAGGGCAGCTCCCATCACACTTCAGGGGCAGAGTCGTTTTCTTGGAGAAGACATCTGTCCTCCTCCAGGCCCCGAGTCACACTCACGACGGATTTTTCAGCATCTGTTTCCCCATCAGACTGTGAGTTCATCGAGGAGAGATGTGCTGTCTCTCTTGTCTGCAGCCCTGGTTCGAGGCCTGGCACTGTATCTCACCTGTTCAGAGATGCAAACAACACCCCCCTCCCCCATTAACATCTCTGACATCAGGATATAACTTTCCATCATTAGTACGTCATGGTTGATTCGGCAACATTTTTATTTCCTAGTGTAAGAGAAATAATTGTGTGTCATACAACTGATACAATCTTCCACTTGAAGAAGTCTGGTGGTTGCTACATGAACTAGCAAAAAGCCTGTAGTTACTTGGTGTTTGGCCTCAGTGCAGAAATTCTACTACGTAGGCTTGGCTGGGTTCTTGAATGGCTGTTGGCAAGTAGCAAAGCAAGAGAGTCAACTGCTATTTCCTCCGTTGGTGGTGGACACCACCAGGGCTTTTTTGCCTGAGTGCTACCTCGATGTGGTGCATGTTGCAAGTTCATGGGAGAAGAGCTCTGTGTCTGGGATAATTCCTGCTGGCTACTGCCTGCTGCTCTGGTGTCTGCTGATTGCACTTCTGTCAACGCGATTTCAGAGCCCCACCCCTGCTGTCAGCACCTCCGCTGCCAACGCTGATGTCACGTCAGCTGCCCCATCTCAGATCAGCTGCCCCCATCGCTGTCCTCCTTGGTCTCCAGATAGCTGCTTCTCTCTGCTGACTGAACAGAGCCGTCGTGCATGCTCACGAGACACTTTGCCCCTATTAGACATTCCTCTGTTGGGAGCCCAGACAAAGACCTGGGAGAGAAGAAGGGAATTATGGAGTGTTTGATCACTCATTGTAGTCCTGCCTTGACCATTGGTTCAGAGCCCTAACGCTACCAGAATCGTCCACATCGCCTTTCCTTGGATTCCAAGAGTAACTCTGGAGCAATTCTTACAGGCAAGCAGCTGTATGGGGCCCAACAAATTCCAGTTTTGCCTTCACATAAAATAGAGCCTGTTTTTACCCCTTCTTGGGAATTGGCTTTTCCTTTGGTGGAGGGTGTTTCACTCTGTTTGCCGAGAAAATTCTCTACTTATCCATGGCATGTCCTGACCCTAGCACAAGAAGGCATAAGTAGAACAGGTTGTTCAATTGACTGTGGCCTTGATCAGTCGCAGCCATGATTGACGAGGCCAGCTATTTCTGGGCATCCTCTCCCATCATTACCCCTGCCCAGGGCTTCACGAAACAGCTGGGTTGTATCTCACTGACAGAATCTTTTAGTCACTTTCAATTCTGCCAAGGAAATATAGACATGGGCCTTCAGCTTCTAAATTAACTTTGATTTCCTCCAGACCCTGGTCCCCTTTGCGTCACAAAGCATCTTAAAACTGATCTGAACATTTTCATTTAAAAGAAAAGGAAGAAGGGGGGGGAACATGAGGGAGAAATTATTGAGGCAAATATGACAAAGCATGAAAATGTATGTCAAATAAAGACCTTATTCATAAATGTAAAAGAAATTAAGATCCTAATAAATAACTGAGATCCAAACTTTCCAACCCTGAATGGAAGCAAGGTCAGAAATACCCGGTTAGGAGGTGCCACTGAGCTGTGGTGTGTAGAGGACTCCGCCCGCAAGTGAAGCACACTGGGCTGCAGCCAGGAGTCATGTGTGGATTTGAATCCAATAAGCCAGAGAGGATCACCTGATGAGTTTGCCCCAACTGAGGGACCGGGAGCAGATGCCAAAAGTAAAACACAGGGAGGGGTTTGGATGGAGAGATAGGCTGTGCCTATAGACATTAGTCTCCCATAAGAAACCAGCTGAAATTATCTAATGGAAATTTTAAACGAGGAACAGATAACACCCCCTGTGATACTAGAGAATGATTGTGACCTACATCACAAATTTTGAGGATCTTCAAGGAGAACGACTGGGCACCCAGTTGAAGGAAATATCCAAGGCAAGGGGCACCTCCAGTTCCTGTGGGGTACAGGCTAGAGGCCAGACTGGACCATGAGGAAGCAGGGAACTCTTCACTTGAAAATGCATTTGCTACATAGAAAAATCTTTGAGAATCAGCTGTGCCGGCAGCCCAGAGGAAACCTGCCATGTTCAACAGGAAGCCCAAGAGAGAAGGGTTTCTCTCCAAGCAAGAATTCCTCTGAAGTGGCTTTACTCTTGTGTGATATGGCCGAGCTTTCCCTGATGGGCAACACAGAAGTACAGGAAGGCTGTCAGATGCAGAATGGAGGCTAAGCCAGACAATGGATTTGGGTGCAGAAACTTTCATTAACATAAAGTTCCCCTGGTATAAGACCTCTTCTGATAGACCTCTGTGTCCCTGAACTAGGATGACATGGTCGACCAGCCCTCCAGTTGAAGACTTAAAGATTCTAAGTCTATTCAAGTAAGACCTAAGAGGAATTCACCCACCTTAATTTTAAACAAATACGGGATCAAATATTCAGACACACACATACACACACACACACTACAGAGGGGCTATTAAAAACCTTCCTACAACACACAAGATAAATGTAGCATTGAGAGATAGACAAAGGCATTCTTAAAATATATATTCTATTCAGGCCATACAAGTACATTTCAGAGAGAGACTACTTTATGCCCTGGAAGAAGTAAGAGCAAAGATCCGAAGAAGCTAGAGATACAAGATGAGATGGTAAGATAATATATTCCTATGTAATGAGGTAGTCCATTAAGGAATATATGTAAAGGCAATGCTACCAAACAATCTGATAACGGTCCAAGGCAGTCAGTGACAGAACTCACTGCAGAAAATCAGATCTGTAAGGTGGAGGGTAAAGCAGAGGTGGTCTCTCATGACGCAGAGGATAAGGACATGAAAAAGACATCAAAGTGATAGAAGGGACATAAATGGAAGAGTCAGAAAACGAAGAGTCCACAGGCGGGTCTGCTGCTTACTTGCTCTCAAAGTCCATTTCTCCTGAGTTACAGGTGTTTCTCAAACTAGAAAATGGGCTGATAGGAATCCTAGTCTATAGGGCACGGGAAAAGGATTGAGTGAGATAATGATTGCCAAGTGCCCAGCATTTACAAAGCATTAGATAAACAGTCTCGCTCTTAAACTTCTGCTACTGTTTCCATTATTGTTACATAAATGGACACAGGGACACCTGGAGAAAGTCAGTACCGTTGACTGTGGTCTATGTCCCAGGACCACCGTCTGGATTTTGTCTATAAATAGGTATTTTTCCCAAGAAGAACTCAGAGCTGCTAAATTCCCTAAATCCATTTTTTTAAAGGATATCTGGCTTCACACATAAATTATGCATAAATAAAGTATAATTTGATGGATAGAAAATATTTGCATAAAACTTTTCCCATAACTCTGAGCACAGAGCTTCAGTCTTCTAACATTGAATGTTGCAATGGAGAAATCAGAGGCTGGCTTAATTTTTTTTTTTTTTTTTACATGGAATACATTAACAGAATAAAAATTACAGCTTCAACACTATCCTTGCAGTTCAGTAACTCAAGATATGCCTCAAGATTGTTGTTGTTGTTGTTCTTAGTCTTTTTAAAATTTTTTTCTTTCTGGAAAGAGTGTTCTGTTGACGTGCAGTTTCACCTCTGGGTTTATTACAGGAAAGTTTTCCCATGATATCTTGCAATGCATTTATGTCTCACATATCTGCTCTCCTTTCCAGAAATACTGATGTGCCTGTCTTAGTTGGCCTTTATCTGCTATGTCCATCCCTTGTCATCTTAATGATTTATAAACATCTTCTTTCCACTTTCCTGAATGCTCCAGATTCTGGTTATTACAGCTTCTAAGGTAGTGTTATTATTGCGTTCTCCTTCTTTCCTGAACACTCACAGCTCGCTTTTTCTCCTTTGGCTATCTTAGAATCTCTTCCTCTTCTTTATCTCTCTGTTTTGCTTCCTTTTCAAAGGAGTCCTGTTCTTAACTTCTCTGAGGGTTAAAAAAGTATTTAT